CATTATGTGATTATATGATTTGGGCATTTTGGGAACTCACTAAGCGTTTGCTTACAGATTGATGGTTGTTTCAGGTACTTCTGGTTCTAAGCGAAATGGCCCAACTTGATGGCACGACGTGCACTCTCCACTATTTTCTGAAATCATTGTTATTGAACTTTGATGATTTCATGTGATGTTGATTATATATGGGATTTTTGGTATCAGACTTTGTTGATTTCTGAAATCATTGTTATGCACTCTCCTCCAATACACCTTTTGGGTGTACTGTCGAGTGATCTGGTAACTGAATGAGTGTCTCAGTCTCTTGTAAAGTTCCTAATTTTAATTTTTCAAAAACAGAAAAGGTAAGGACATTGACTGATGCACCTAAATCAAGCATGACACTTGAAAAAGTAAGGTTTCCAAATTTACAAGGAATCAAGAAAACTCTCGGATCCTTGCACTTTGGAGGTAAACCCTTTTACAACATAGCAGAAATATTTTCGCCAGCTTTGGTAATTTCATTAATTTTCATTTTTTTTCATAGAAACATATAATTTTTTCAGAAACTTGGCATAATGAAGGATGTTTTGAATTAATTCTAAAATTGGGATATTTATCTCCACCTTACGAAAGGCGTCCATAATATGCTCGTTCTCACGCTTGCGCTTCGTGCTTTTCATACGTGATGGGAAGTGTGGTAGGGGATTGTGCTCCTTCAAATTCGGCTTCGCTAGTTGTGGAGTTTTTGTTCCTTTATCTTCTTTAGCTTATTCTTTAACCAAAACCTCTTCATATTATTCCTCCTCTTTTTTTGGTTCTTTTACATCTTCTTCTTCAACCAGAACTTCTTCATATTCTTTTTTTAGTTCAGGTATGCTTGGGCCTTCATATCTTTTCCCACTTCTCAAGGAAATATCACTCACATTGTGTTTTGGATTGTTTTCAGTGTGTCCCTGTAACTTTCCTTGAGATTCCAGACGACCCACATAAGTGGCAAGTTGAGACATCTATTGTTCCAGATTCTTGATACTAGCTTTGGTTTCGTTCTGGAATGCTTGGGTTCTTGTGGCAAGACTCATTATGCAATCATAAATTTTAACTTTTCTTCTCATATGGCTTACAGATGACTTGTTCGACCGTGTAAAACTTTTCGACTCATTTATGCGATCGAATAAGTAAAAAATGCGATTGAATTTTTGTCATGTTTCGATCGCGATTCTTCAGTTTAAGTAACACAAAAGTCGTCCGAAAATTTGACTAGTTTTCGAAACATTTTTAATATTTTCAATCGGAATTTCGAGTCATGAGATATGGTCAAAATACTGACATGGGGTCAAAGCTTCCAACAACATTCTTTAGGCTTTAGAATGTAGCAATCTATCTTCGTAAATCGATCGAATGTTTCTTGACCAAAATAGCTTCTAAGAATTCCTCAGAATCCTTCATAAGTCCCAAGCTCCATTTAACTCCAATGCCCCATCAAACACATCCAAAGCTGCTCCCAAAATACTACTCTACTCGAATTATCTGAAAATGACAAAAAATGCTATCAGCATGGGAATTATGATTTAAAACATGAGGAGAACATTTTTTAAACTAATGACATGCAAATTTACAAAATATGATGGTAAATGATAAAAAAAAACTACCCTAAAAGATGCATAAAATGACATCTCTCACCAGTCAACCTGGATCTTTCTCTATTCATCTTCAAATTCTTTCATTACCATCTCCATCGACTTACGTTCAAAAAGAGTATATTTACATTAGTTTGTAACCACCAGTATACATGCATGATTATTGTTGTTGGTTGAAAACTATTAATAAACAACAAGTTCCTCCATCATATTGTTATGTTTTTGCACACAATATTCAAGTCTATGTTTATGCATGTTGTATAAATTTCTAAAACGTTATCCAAACACAATAAATTAATAGGTGAATACCTAATTCCTCTTGTTGGATATCATGTAACAAACTTTAATTCTAAACTAGCATGCACAAAAATTAATAAATTTCTTTTACAGAAACAACAACTAACAATACGGTTAAACTACAATAACATACTACAAAACCACATATTGAAACAATGTACTATCTAAAAATGAGGCTATATTTCATATGATTAGAGATGTTATGGTTTATAAGATTAAAATATAAAAGTAAAAACTAGGTTTGAATTCTTTTTATAAGCTTGTGTAAACTAAAAAAGAAATCAATGACAGAGAAGAGAAGAGAAGAGAAGAGGGAGTACCTCTGATGTTAATTTGGGGCTGACCACTATAGCCAGAGCCAATCGCAGAAGGGGATATGGTTTCATATTCATGACGGAAGAGGAAGAAGATCCAAAATGTGAGTAATCTTTTACGTTTTAGGGCCCAATATATACAAGAGTAAGTTACAATAACGGTAATATAAAAGAATCATAGTTTTAGTCAACTTTTAATTTCATTACATGGTTTGTAAAGTGCCAAGAATTGTAATTCTATTAGATCGAATTGATTAGGTTTACATAACGCCCATATATATAAGTCTAACTATTACAAATTAGTCACTCTAAATTATACTAATTTTAATCGTGTCTAATACGCCCCCACAAGCCAAGGACGAGGAACGACCTGCAACTTGGATCTTAGGTGTTCAAATCTCGGAGTTGGTAACGGCTTTGTGAAGATGTCAAGGATCTGGTCATGTATGGATATGAACTGAACTTGTAGATCTCCATTAGCAATCTTTTCTCTAACAAAGTGAAAATCAACCTCTATATGTTTGGTACGAGCATGAAAGACTGGATTAACAGAGAGATGGATTGCACCAAGATTATTACACCATAGAACAGGATCAGAAGAGTTGATGACATCAAGTTCACGAAGAAGTGCTTGAAGCCAGGTGAGCTTAACAATAGTATCAGCAAGAGCTTTGTATTCAGATTTTATGGAATATTGAGACACGGTGCGATGTTTGCGTGCAGTCCAAGATATCAAGTTGGAGCCGAAATATATGACACCCCCCGGTGGACCGACGATTATCTAGGAAACCGGCCCAGTCAAAATCAGAAAAGGCAGTTAAAGAATCAGATCCTTTCTAGTGAAAGTAAGTGAATGCTTGAAGTTGCGTGCTCGATGTTTGACGAATTAACATGCCATGATCTACTGTACCATGAAGATAGAGGAGGATGCGTTTAACAGTAGACTAATGATTGTCGGTTGGGGCATGCATGAACTGACAGACTTTGTTGACAACAAATGTGATATGTAGTCTAGGCAGTGTAACATATTATAGTGCTCCAACTACTTGGCGATATCGTAATGGATCCGAGAAGAGTAGGTTGTTATTGACCTCCAAAGGAGGTGTGGTTGTTATAGGAGATGGAGTCGCTTTAGACTTTGACAAGCTGACCTTTTGTAGAAGTTCCAGAATATATTTTCATTGCTACATGATTATGTTAGATCCTCTTGTAACAATCTCAACACCCAAAAAATAAGAGAGATTACCTAGGTCGTTAATAACAAAGGCAGCTCCTACTTGGGTAATAACCTTGTATATAACAACATTGTTGTTGTCCGTGATGATGATATCATCAACATAAATCAACATGTAGAGAGTAGTGCTGGCACGAGAATAAATGAACAAAGAGGGGTCGGTTTTAGAGGCTTTAAATATGAGAAGATGTAGATTTTGGGTAAGTCATTGAAACTAAGCTCTAGGAGCCTGCTTAAGACCATAAATAGATTTGTGCAGTATGCAAACATGGTAAGGATTCTTGGGATCAACAAAACCTGGTGGTTGCTTCATGTATACGGTTTCTGTGAGGGTGCCATGAAGGAAAAGCATTCTGAACATCAAGCTATCGAAGAGGCCAATTTTGTGTGATAGCAAGACATAATACCACTCTTATTATTGTAGATTTCAACATAAGGTTGAAAATCTCATGATAATCGATCCTTGGTTGTTGTTGGAATCCTTTTGCAACAAAGCGTGCTTCGTAGTGAGTGATAGTCCCATGCTTGTCGCGCTTCAATCTGTAAACCCACTTGCAATCAATAACATTAGTTTTTGGTACCAGAGGCACCAGTGACCAAGTTCCATTTTTAATAAGGGTAGAGTACTCATTTTCTATGGCTTTGCGCCATTCAGGGGTTTTATTTGCAACAGAAAAATATGTAGGCTCATGGATGGAGGTGGTTGTGTGGTGAGGACTAGTCGGAAAAGGGACTTTTTTTTAAGGGTTTTGACATAGATTGGAAGGACGAGTACGAGGCACATCAGTAGGTGTAGGTGTAGCCGAAGGTGAAGGTTCGACTGGTGGTGAAGGAGATACCGAGGATGCAATATTCGATGTAGTAGTAGAGGTGAAGTCTTTGGCAAGTAGGAATGAGGATTCATCAAAACACACATGGTAGGCTATGTATTTCCGATCTGAGGAGAGATCAAGGTACCGATAGCCGTGATGAGACGGGTTGTAGCCAAGGAAAAGGCAAGGGGTGGAACGAAAATCCATTTTGTGATGATTATAGGGTCCTAAGTGCGGGAAGCATCATTATTCTGTAATAAAGTTAGTTTAAATCTTGTTTTTTTTTTGAAAAAAACAAAACATTTTGGAAGTAGATTTATGTTTTGTTAGAGAAAAGGTTATTGATGGAATTTTGGAGATTTAATTTGCAAATAAGTTCAACTTTTCAAAAGGTAGATATCTTTACAAAATCTTTGATTTACACTCAACATAATTTTTTAAGAAATCGACTTGGCTTATTAGATCTTTTTTTTAAACAAGATGATAATATATTAAGTTTGAGTGTGGGTGTTGAGAAATGATGTTTTTTTTATCATTACAAACTTAACATAAAACATTTAATAGTTTGTTATAGTTGGCTGTTATTATTTATTTTGTTATTATGCATGTACTAATAAAATGGGTAGAAAGTGTAACAGTTCAAATAATATTGGGGCTTCTGGTAAATAGAGATATTTTGTGTAGCTGTATATAAAAAGACTTCCGGATGGTTTCAGAGAACAATACCCACACAGGTTAGGTGTAGATCTCTCATTTTCTCTCTCTAAACCGTTTACTTGTATTGTATAAAATTCAGACTTGAAAGACTGATTGTTCTTGTAGAGAGATTTTCATGTATTCGAATGATGTATAACAATCTGATTCCCGTTTAAATGAATTAATTAAGTTGGGAAGTTGTGAGTTTCTTCAGGTTTTAGACGAATTCTCTCTAAAGTCAACTCTCACGTCGCTATGTCGCCTCTTATTTTCTATCCAGCTTGAAGAGGCTATCACTATTCGCATCTGTCTAAGCTTGTTATCTCGCACTCTCGTCGTGATTGCCCAGTGCAATTCAACATTTTAGTCAAGTAAGTTTATAAGTGCTTTAACCTGATTATTAAAATTCAAAATTTCAAACTTTACAGTAATTGACGTTGTTTTTGTTATGTATTATATGTGATTATGAATCTACATTACTTGAACTACACTTCTTCTTATTATAATTATTTGATGATCCAGATCCACAAATTCATCAACAGCTGTCTAATTTGAGTATAGAAATCGGCAGATCATAATGTATTTAGTCTAAGAAAAATATAAATTTATAAATCTAATAAACTATTGAAAATTTCATATGGCAATGACTTAGTTATTTTCAAGAATCAACTTAATACATTTGTCAACCGCTTTGTCATCTCGCCTTTTAATCAACGGCTGGGAATCAACATTGTTCACGAAGTGACTTCTCTAATGGTTCAACAATGCTAATTATAGCTTCCTAATTACTCACTGTCAAATGGAAAATATGGTGAAGTTGAGTCCCAAAGAAATGAAAGGGAATATTTGGGATGAAAAGGGCAAAAGCTGACAAATTCTAATTTCATAGTCTTTTTTAAATCCGTAAATCTAAGGAAACCACTTTCTCATCTACTACATATACGAACTGGATTCGAATGACATCACATAGTCCTTCTGATGTGATGTGTTTTCAATCCACTTTGTATATATTGTAGATGAGAAGAAAGTGGTTTCTTAAGAAATGCATGGAAAACCGTGTGGTTCAAAATTCGATATCATAAGTATATCACCATGACCAAAAAGTTAGTTATCCGTTTCTGTTGATAGTTAGTTTAAGAAAGGGTATTTTTGTCATTTCAGTTAATTATTCAGTTAGTTGTTTTGTGTCTGTATATATTTGAGCTTATGCTCTGTTTTTCATTTCGATGTAATGAGAAGAAAAGTTTCTTTTTTAATTCTTCATTAGTTTCAAATCTAACATGGTATAAGTCTAGAGATCCATTCTTCCATAGTCATTCATCTTGTTCGTCTTTTTTTGTTGATTTTCTCTTTGTTTCATCTTCAAAATCATATCTGCATCCAGCAATTCATCACCTCAATCATTTCCAATCCATATTATCTTGGATCTTCTTATAATCCAAACACCGCTCTTGTTTCATGTGTGTTTAATGGAGTTGGATTCGATGACATTTGAATACCCTTGATTGATTGACTTTGATTGTATATTTGTATTACACCGGTCGTTTAATTTTCTAGCAACTTCGATTTCTAATTTTGGTTGAAGAATTTCTTAGGTTTCATTAAACATCCACTACGATTCGGAATTTTATGTACTTCTTTTGTATTTTGTGATTCGGTTACTATCTGGTGTTGACCCAATGATTATGATTCTCCGATTTAACGAAATAAAAAACTTGGACCGAAGTTGCTAGTTACATATGAATGCTAATAAACTTCCCCATGCATGCATTCTTCAGGGTTTTGAAATTGAACCTGAAGCATCATTTACAAAAACATGTTGAAGTTGGGTCCCAAAAAAATGAAAGGAAAAACTTGGGACGACGGTGGCAAGAGTAAACTCATGCAAATTCTAATTTCATATGGAAAAAATACAGTCTATTCGATCCAGTTTGTGTATGCTGTAAATGGGGTAATGTGTCCTTCAGAAATTTATGGAAAACCATGTGGTTCAAAATTTGATATCGTAAGTATTAATATACCCATCCCTCTTTAACGTTCCTTACATGAAGTGAATTCTGGTTTTACTTTTGGAAATTGAAAAATGTAGGTGATGTTTGATGAGCAAAAAGAGGAGTATTTGACTTGTGTAAGTGGTCAATATGGCAAAAAGAAATTGGGTTCAATTACATTTGGTACCAACAAGAGTACGTATGGACCCTATGGAAGTATTCTTAAGAGTTCGGATCCGCAGTTTGTGTATAAGTTCATACCCGCGTATTCGTTTGGGGGATTTCATGGTAGTGTTTACAAGTCGTGTCTGTGTTCCATTGGGGTCTATGTTAGGCCCCTTGGATTCATTGCTGAACCTGATAAAGGTGATGAAGATGCATGATCAAAGTACTAGTCGATCAAGATGGATGAGGGTAAAAGTAGGAAATTTGTTTTATTGTTTTATTAATTGCATTGAGTTATTACTCAGTCGTTTATAGCACTACTTAGTTAAAAGGGTACACATTACTTTCACTCTGTCTTGTTTTTTAATCAATTCCATATGCTTATTGAGTTTCATAATATGCAAAGTTTTTTTCTTTGTCATCATCATTTTTCTTCTTTTTAATTTCTTCCTGATTGTGTATATTTTTTTTTTTATTATTATCATTTTGTTACAGAGATAACCATGTGCCTGAAATGGGTGGTTTAAAATTTCATATTTGGTGCGGTATGTGGTAAACACCCAACGAGTCCCAAAACAAAGCGGTAAGGTTTCTTCGTGGTATGGATTTACCGCATGGAAAAAGGAGAATTAGCCGTTGGCAACTGCTACAATTTCGTATATTTTTGTTTTGTTTTTTTTTTCTGTTTTTTTTTTTCAAAAAACCTATATAAATACAATCTATCACTTTTATATTTTTCACACACAAACCACTTTCATTTTAAAAAACCTTTGAAACATTTGTACTCCAAAAATGAATCCAAATAGCCCTCAATTTACCGTTCGTGGCAAATCGCGTGCAATTTTTCGTCCAATTGAGCCGTTGGTGGGTGGTGGTGGCGACAGGGGAACCGGCGGCAGTGGCGGTTGGTCAGTGGCGGCAGCTTTGTTGGTGGTGGTGGCGGCGACGGTGGTGGTCGGTGACTGTAGTGGTGGTGGGTTTTCTGATAAGTACAATGAGTATTTTTGTAATCTGCCACTTTCCTTGATGAGAAGGAATGTTTTCCATCAAACTTTGAAAAGAATTCACTTTCCTCCATATGGTGGAAAATATATTTCATTTAGGAATCTTTTTCCCCTCTCTAAGTCCAACCAAACACATGAATTCAAAGGAATTAGAATCATTTTCCCTCGAATTCCATTAATTTCTGCCAGCCAAACACACCCTTATGGTTATCATTTTTTCCTAAAATATTTGAAATATTTTATTTGTATGTGAATGATCCCTTTAGAGAAAATCTTACACACCGATGGTCCTTCTTATTTATGTTCGTTAGTTGGATTAGTTAAATTGAAGAAATTTTGGATGATGACTTTTTTGATAGTTTGTGAAACTTCGGCTAAGGACCATTTACGAAATTCTGCCCAAGGACCATTTACGGAATTTTAAAGAAGTCTATTAAATCTTTTATTAATTACCCTAAATAAAATAAAATGACAAAAAACTAAACATAGAAATTGTAATATTTATATTAATAAAAAAATTAGAACTTTCAAATTTTAATCGTTATGTAAATATATTTTATTTAATATATTGATAATTTTTGTTGTCTAAACTTTATCTAAAATATTCAAACTACAATACATTATTAAATATTTTCGTTTTCATTGTTTTATCTAACAAAATTTGAAGCATAACAACATCAATTTTTATAAGTTTTCCGTGATGAAATTTTCAAAATTTATCTTTGTTTTTCTTATACAACTATATTTATTTTTAGAGTAAATTACACGAATGGTCCCTATGGTTTGGGGTAATTTGCGCGCTTGTTCCCTAACTTATTTTTTTTTAACTCGAAAGACCCCTACTGTTTGTTTTTGTTACGCGCTTGGTCCCTCCTGCTTGTTTTTGTTATGCGTTTGGTCCCTGTCTTACCAAACAAGACTATTAGTTAAATAGGAAAAAATTATGCGGTAGGTAAGGTAAGGTGAGGGGGTGGGGTTGGGGGTGTGTTTATTTAAATAAATTAAAAAATAAAGGGCAGAATAGTCTTTTTAGGTAAGACGGAGACCAAACACGTAACAGAAACAAATAGTAGGGACCTTCCGAGTTAAAAGAATAGGTTAGGGACCAAACACGAAATTACCCTAAATCATAGGGACCATTTGTGTAATTTACTCTTATTTTTATGAAAAAAATGATGTGTTATTATAAAAGTAATAGTATGTTGTTATTTTATTTTAGAAATATAAGTATTTGGTTTTGAGTTAAATGTAAATTTAACATTCCGTTTGAAATTAAGTAATTAAATAATAAACCCTAAAACCCCGAGACACGGTATTAACCACCGTATCCCTTCCCCCTCGTTTCTTTGTCACAACCCTAAACCTAATACATTTCATCAGCCGCCGCCATCTTGGAAGCCATCTCAGCTACCGCCCCAGTGTCGAGTCTGACTGCCATTCCTCCACCTGCTATCTTGCTGTCGGCGCCTCCTCAACAGCTCCTGCTCCGGACGTCGTGTGTAGCTGGGAAAAACCACCGAGACCGACAATGGAAGTCGCGAACGTCGATGCGGGGGTCGAGAACGACCAAGAAGCTCTCGGTAAGTCTAACCACCACCCACCTTCCCTCTCTTTCGTTCTTTTCTGTGGGTACGACGTCGGAAACGTCGTTACTGTCGCCAGTGGCCGTTGGGGCGCTGTTTTCGTCTATTTCCAGCGACGTTAACCGCTTAGGAGGTGGCTGAGTGTGCGTGTGTTAGAGTATAGAGGTTGTTTTCGGTATTCGTGGTGTGGCATGCGCGTTAATTGGCCGAAAACCCACCACCACCACCATGAGGTGGTAGCTGCCACCGTTTGCTGTCGCCTGCCACCGTTTGCTGCCGCCTGCCACCGCGTGGGTGGCTATGTGCGTGATTTGGTGTGTGTATGAACGTATTTTATGAGTTTAATGTTGTATAGATTTCCCTTGGCCAGGAAACCGAAGGAAACTCATCAACACCACCGTGAGGTGGTGGCTGCCACAATCTGTCGTCGTTCCGCCACTGCTAGCCACCATCTCCGGTGGCTGTGTACATTTGGGTGCGTTTGGACTGATGTTTGGAGTGCTATTGGTGTTGTTTTGGCCTAAAATCATAATGGTGGGATGTCAAGTCCACCAAGCAAATTACACCCTTTGTTTGCAAATAAAACGTAATATAATGGTAAAAAGGGGTATCGATCCTCGGGGAAATGGTTGTATTCAATCACCAATGCAATCTAATAGAACTAGTGTAAATAAACTAACTAACTACAATTAAACTAAAAGGGGGGGTGTTTGATTGCTTGAAAACTAAAAGACTTGAATAACTAAAAAGCTTGCAATTAAGCAAGATGATGAGATGCTAAAATATGGGAGAGCATTGGTCAACCAAGGCAATTCAACACAATGGACATTTGTATATTTATCATTAGGATTCAATATGAAGCTTATCATTCATCCCAAATTGGTTATAGCAATCATGAAGCATGATATGCCAAGATTCCTCATAGGTAGTATGGAGGTTGGGGAAGCCCACAACACACTTTCTTAATCAAAATCAAGGATTCAATTGAAGCAATTAAACCCAAAAAGTTGATTAGCCATAAGAATGAAGGAATCCCCAATTCCTAGAGGATGTCAATGCTTACACATCCATAAAGGAGTCATGATTTATAAGATAGAGATGAATTCTACCATCATAAAGCCCTTGTTCTAAGTAAATTCAATGATTCAATGCAAAACCAAAGAAATAAACCAACAATTGCTCATTCAAGTACCAAGCTTATGATCAAAGTATTAAACAAGCATAAGAAATATGAACTAAAATCATAAACATAAGATAATTGATAATCAAGCATGAATCCTTCAAAACCCACAAACATCCAAGGGTTTTCAGCCAAAGTTAACCAAAATAGATAAACTAGCCACTCATGGCAATAAAATAACAATCACAAAAGTCTAATTGCATCAAGAAAGTACCAATTACTTAGGAAGATGAAATGAATGAGTATCAAGCTCCAAAATCGCCTTCTTTGGTCTCTAATGGTGGAAAATCGAAGTGTAACTGAAAGATCCAACCCCCTAGTTAAATGGTGAGCAAAATGAACAAAATGCCCAAAAGTGTGCAGTTGCACGGGTACCCGCGCAAGTGTTGTGCGACTGAGACTTCACCCTCGCAAATATTGTTGGAATGCTATTGGCCCATTTTTCTCCACTACACACCCCACTACCCAATATTCCCTTGGTCCCCTCCACACATCACATGATTCAAATTTGACCAATCATCTTCAAGCTTTAAATATGGATAGTCCAAGTCCAAAATAAAAATCCATGACCCATCTTCACAAGCCCACTCCATCCAAGTCTTTAGCTTTTTAAGCCCAAATCTCCTTTCATGGATCTGTAAAGCCCAATAATGCCTCGAAAGCCCACAATGTCCATCTCCAAGCTAATCCACAACCGCAAAAAGCTCCAAAACCCTGCAAAATACCTCATGCAAAATAGAAAGTCCCCGATACGATCCATGATAAAGAAAATAAATCAAATACAATGCAATACTAATAAAAAGACCCAAAAAATCTAAAATAAACTAATAAAAAAAGGAAATAAAATAAACTATCACATAACCACCACCATAGTGAGGTGGTGGTTGTCGTCGTGAACCACCGCCAACCACCACTGCCCGAGGTGGTAGTGGGTGGTACCCGACTTATTAGAATTTAATTAATGTAAAAACTTAACCATTGGACTAGTTGGCTTGTGATTGGGTTGGAAACCCTAATTAGGGTGTAACATCCGGATTTTCAGGGACATTATTGTGTATGTTAATCTTGAGATTTAAGGAGGGACTCGACGAGTTGAGGGACCAACTCGCCGAGTCGAGTCGAGTTGCTCGCGTGGATTTAATGAATGGACTCGACGAGTCAGAGGAGGGAATCACCGAGTAGGTGCTGGGCAGAGAAACCCTAATTTCCCAGGTTTGGGACCTATTTAAAGGCATTTATAGCCTCATTTGCGGCTATCTTCCCCTGAGAGCAAACCCTAATTGCTATTGGAGCTAGAGAGTGAGAGAGAAGCTCATATTGTGGTTCTTGGTGCATTTCTATGAAGAAGGATGAAGAGCTTCATGATGGGGAACAAAGGAAGGCAGTGGATCTGTGGTATTGATTGTTTCAGCTGCTAAGAGAAGGTACAAAGTCCTCATCTTCTTCATTCCTTGTACTAGATCTCATTTTGGGAGTTTTAGGGCTTTGCTTCCATCCTTTTGAATCTATGACTCGAATGAGACCTGGTTGTGGTTGGAAACCTCAGATCTGGACCTCCTAAGGTCCTTAAAGTCTAGATGTCTCAGCTTTAGTGGTCTAAATGAGGGTTGA